CATATACCCCGTGCCTAAGGTCTTGGGCCATGTTTCATTGAGGAGCCTAGTACTTGCACCTTTCAATGTTTGCAAAGTGATTTATGCATCAAAAATACATAGCAACAACCCATAGACTTCTCATGCATACTATCCAAGGATTACTTCTATTTAATTGCATTATACATCCCGCTATCGACGCAGATGACATGCTCGAAGGGCGGCTGAGGTGCTACGACAAAGCCAGCTCGAAAATCCAAATCGGGCAGTCGGCGAACGTCAATAAACCGACGCGTCGTTAGTCGCTTAGCTGCCTTACATAATTCCGGTAAAACCTCGGACGACGAGTTGGGCCAGCCGTCTCAGAGCGTCCTCATCCTCACTAGTCGTCTTAATTAGGAAACACATCTATAAATAAGTTGCATTATATAAGCCCTATTACATAATATCTTCACATATGCCCTAGCAGAGAGGATCGAGGACGCGGAGACGGATGGTTCTAGGAGCCTGCTTCCCATCTAGCACTGCCTTCCAAGGCTTCAACAGAACAGAAAAGAACATTTCTCGCACTTATCTATTCTCCATCCTGCCTAAACTCTAATTCTCTCGTTCAGCTTCGACGTCCGGCCGTCAGGGCCAGCGTCGGTTTGTCATTTTGTGAGCCGTGCGGTTCATCGTTCCTCTCCGCTACTAAATTAAGTAGCCATGGTAAGCACTAGAGTATCAGAGTTTCCTGCAGACCGGTCGTCACTGTTGACTGACACCTTGCATGGGTATCTGTTGCACTCTAGGCACAAGTCGCAGTAAACTGCATGGCTGAATTCTCAGTGAAGGCGGCCAACGAAATGCCCTTACGTCTCTTCGACAACCGGATGCTGTTTCTCAGCTATGCAGACTGGTGAAGTCAACCCGGCTGTGCTAGGGAAGGCTAGGGATAGGTGCACAGCCGCTGCCTCGTGTCTTCACAAAAGACTGCAAGAGAGCATCCTTCCCACCCAGTTACGCTGATAATCTAGGCCATTTGCTAATCTTGAATGACGTTCATCAGATTACTTTGAGGCTGTAAGCCTTGTCATCTGTCCGCTAGAGCGCCTAAGGCTGCCACAGGTTTACTTCTCGTATCGTCCAATTTACCTCTCTCGGTGTGCCTGTGCTGCATCATGTTAGTTTTCTGGATTTCTACTCTACGACACGTTGCAAACCTTTGCGCACCATGTCCAGCCTCGGGAGGCTCATAAGGAGCGTCACATTCGGATATGTCTCCCCTTGGAAGAGTCACCCGCCTCCGGGTCATTCTAACTATATTGCATGCCAAAGTCCCCCGTACGGAAGTCGGCGAAAGACCGCAAAGCCTCACATTCACGCAGAGGACCTAAGGACGTCCCACAGCACCTGGTATGCACAACTGTATTGCTCGGACGGGAGGTTCACAGCTGATTATGAGTATCCTCTAGATGCCGAGCTACGGTATCCGAATCTTCGGGAAACTTACACCCGATATGACTCCTGTAACCAGTGACGGCTTCACTGAGTCCAGCTTTCCCTTCCGGGAGGCGGATGCTACGAATAACGACAGTGTCGAGGTACCGTCGGAACAAGAACACTCCCGAAGACCGCGTCGCGGTCGTCGCGCAAGGAAAGGCAAAGCGAAACAGCCAGTCGAGTCAGTCGCCACTGGCAGTCAATATCGGGTAGAGGAAGCGAGCGCTCAGTTCGAGGGTTCCCTTGTCGAGCCCGTCCCCCAATGTCCCCCAGGCCATCTCCCTGTCCCCGTTCCTGCGAACCATTCGCGTGTCCCTTATGTGTCCCAGCCACTGCCCCAGTCCGAACCGAGTTATAATGTAAACTATAATGGTGGTAATATCTACCAGTACGAACTCTCTGCCGCTTTAAGGACGTCATCTGACATGCAGAGTCCCATCCCTATCCGACCATCACGACCCCGCCCTCGTTTCCCCTCTCTGCCGCCTGTCGCTCGACCTCTCTTTCACGTCCCTCAAACTGAGAATGGCCGGCCACGCTTCATCCCATCCCTTCGTAACGGCTTCCCCCCTCCTTCATCGGCTCCCACTGTCCTAACTTCACATCCGCAACCCAATGCTCCGTACTCCCGCAGAGAATACGCTCATGCTCACCCTTTCCCTATGCATAGGACCGCTCCACAGAGCACCGAGCTTCCCATGTCAAATGGCTGGAGACCGATGGAATCGCACAGTGATAACTTGCGGCATATGCAGGAGAGGGATCTGCGTGCGCAGATGCTGAATGAGCAGAGCTTGGCTTACGGGCTGTCTAATGGGGATACTGCTGGCTCATCAGGTGCTCCGTTCGCGCCTCCTGAGTACGGGACAAACTACTATTCATACGGAGGGGCGCTGCAAGCGCCTGGTACGCTAGCTCAGGATGGCTTTGCGGGGGTGGAGCGATACACTGGTGTTGACGTTGAGGCTGCTGCTATGGGCACGAATGCCGTCTCTCATGGAGATGCAGTGCTGGGCCCCTTTGGATGGAGCTGACACTACGGGGGGAGGGGGGGGCCTTGACGGCGATGCGAATTGACCCGCCCTCATGCACCGTCTGACCATGATGAAGACGGCAGATTGAGTGTGAGGCATCCATGATGGTCTGCCTTACACGCCAGCCTTCGGAACTAGAGACGCCCATATACATGGCGAGGGGCTCCAGAAGAACCCGAGGCTGCAGATTTTCGGGCGGGAAGAGGATGGGTTGGAATAAAGGAAGTCGATCTACGACTCGCTGCATGCTATGCTTTCTACCTGAACGGAGAGGAAGACGACATGAAGCAGTACCCTATGCAATTCCTACATAAAGTATCTTACGTCGTCTCTTAATTCATTTAATTCATTTGCTGTACTCTCCTCGCATATTGTGGCCAGCCAGCGCAGATTCATAAGAATATAGTCTTGGTCCCTTACTTCTTAAGTCTCTTGGTAGCCCGTGTGGCCACGGGCGCCGCGGTATCAACAGACGAGATTGACATGGATCGTCGGGACGACGCCTGGATATACTGCTTCAGGCGCAGACCAAGGTACACAAGGATAGATCCTCGTACCTTCCTAGCCCGCCCGCTTCGGACGCTCACAACGCTCTGCGCTCGAACGCTATCTTCCTCCTTCTCCCCATCAGCGTCCCTCTCAGTACCTGTCTCGTCTTGGTCGACGTCCATGGGGGTCTCCGCAGCATCTCCTGCCACCGACGCGCTGCTGCTCTTGCTCTCGAGTCTCATCCGTGCCGTCCGGATTTCTTGGTCAACGCGGTCGACGGCACGCTTGAGGTCGACAAGGGCTGCCGCGGCGTCCAGGAGACTTTCGAGTTTCTCGCAATTGTCTTTAGTCGGCATGACCAGACGAGTATGGTTTATACCGAGCTCAGCAAGAGCAGCTGTGATTTTCGGTGCAAGGCCGGCGGGCTTTGGAACAGGGATCTTGAATGATCTCAAGTACACTGGCGTGTGTGCATTCTTTGTAACAGGTAGATTGCTTGGCGCCGGGGCGGAGTTTCGATGAATGCAATGGAGAATGTCTGTGAAATGAGCTTAGTGATCGTCCGTCACGCATGAACGACATGATAAACACACCTTCCTCGGGTGAGGGGACAGATGCTTTCGCTGATTGTTGTCCTTTCTTCGGTACGGGCGTACCCAATGATATGATGTTCGACGGCCCAGCAGATGCGCTTTCCCATTCGCTTCCGTGCCTCCTTTTCTTCTGCTTGGTATCGCCCGAGCCCATGGGGCCTTCGTCGTCTATGGGAAGGCCGTCCAAGCCACTTTCAATGCCTGCCAACGTGCGCAAAAGTTCATCTCGATCCCGCTTGAACCGCCTCTCCGTTTGCTCAAGGCGCTTGATCTCGATGAAGAGAGCTTCCTCCTCCGCAATCTGGGCTGGAGTGCGTGATGCTAGGCTGGCTAGATACTTCTTGCGTGTCGTCTCACGTTCTGTGGGGAAAGCCTCAGTATAGGGGTGAGCAAATATGTCTTTTCGACCGTACCTTTGTCAAACTGGAAGCTAGATAGTAAGTTGGTTCTACTTGTCTCATCACCAGGCCATGGCCGACTCCGGACGAGCTTTCGACAAACGCTGAAGTATCTATCCTTGAGATCCTGATACGACAGAACGGTAAGACGTGATAGCGGTGCCACAGGAGACTATCTTGCTCACTTCCATGGAACGTTCAGGGCCGCCCGGGAAGTTATAACGGTCATGTATGATAAACCATCGTAGGTCATATTCCCTCACGACATCGAATAGATAGTCGGTCTCTTCTTTCGACCATTCACTGTCTTTGCAAAAATCGTCATTAGTGGCCATTGGAAAGGTCCAGCAGACCTACCCTCAAGGAGACGGGTGTACTCATCTTGTGAGTATGTGTAGATATTTGATTGTGCATTGTATTTAGCCCAAAAATATTCTATTATACACGGTGAACATATGGTTATATGCGACACGCGAGAGATATTACCCTCGTTGGGGTCATCGGTGGCCTTGACCCAGTGGTTAAGTTCCAGTGAGTCTTTACGAGCAGGGTTCTTGAAAGAACGACGCTCCCTGTAGAACGATGATATCGTGCCTACGATTCTCCTCGGGGGGCGACGTACCATCTGACCTTCTGGGTCCCGCTGAGATTGGGTTTCTGCTTCAATCGCGGCTTCGAACTCTCTGGCAGAGATGCCATAGACGGACCAATCAAGGCAAATAGTTCTCGAGAAATGCCATTCGGCTTGCCGGTTGAAGCAGATTTCTTCAAAGGTTGTTGACTTTGGGTCGAAGGACTTCCGGCAGGAGGCAAAGATAGGATGCTTCGTACATCGGCCGCCGATGCGCCTGACATGTTATGGGAGGAAAGAGCAGATAGAGCCTATGGCACCGATTATCCCAGAGTAATAGCTAGCTACAGGCAACAAAGAATGCAGCTGGAGGTCCAAGACGAGAGTAAGTCTAAGGAGCTCAGCAAGAGTTAGCCGGCCACAGACGCGCCTGGTCGGCATCGGCCGTATTGCTTGGACGTATTTGCGGGGGTGGCTTGAGTTGGACATGGACGCGACTTCCAGCCATATCCTCACTTAGAATCACGGCCCGAACAATGCAAACTCTTCTAAGGCAGTCCTGTATACGCTCTCGGTCCTTCCAAACGGCGCACCCTCGCTGGCGAGAGGCTCACGGTCCATTCACCAATATCCTGGCGAGCGAAGTTCCTCCACCAGTGCAGGTCAGCCAAATCACTCCCGAAGGAATACAGCTCGCAGACGGGCTGGTCATCCCTTCGGCATGTATATTCTTGGAGGGGAAAGTCTTCTTATGGGACGTCCCTCAAAGTCTTTGGGATGGCTGGAATAAAGATAGGTTTGAGATATTCGACACGGTCGTACCCAAGCCAGGTATGTGTCTCTACACCGGACTCCGCATCTTTGAAGTAAGACTCCCCGTCGCATCAGATCTGTTATTGCTTGGTACCGGAAAGTCCGCAGCTCTGCCTCCTCCTTCAATTCGGTCGTTCTTGAGCGAGATTGGGGTTCAAATGGACGTCATGGACACGGTTCGTCTCATGACTTGTTCACAGATCGGGCTCGAGATCATATTGATTGTGTTAAGCGTAATGCATGCTCTACTTACAACCTTCTCTCTGAGGAGGGGCGCCGAGTCGCAGCCGCTCTGCTGCCCATTCAGCCGCGGGCATGGCAGAAGCGGTCATAAAACCATACGCAGGATACGATGCAAAAGACGCCTGCCACATTCTCGTCGATGCTGTATGCTATGTTACAGATACTTGGTCGGGGTTTCCTGATATTTCTGGCCGATAGATTACGCTGGCGGCGCCTTTCTCTTGCCCTTCTGTGTGGCTGACGCCGATGGCTCTTCCTCATCATCGTACTGGCTTGGTACCCTAATCTCTATAGGCAACAGATTGCCTGTTCGATAAGTCCAATGTGTATTAACGAGACCATACGGGGACCAAACAAGCAATGAAACATGGCATTGGGATGATACAAGGTTATCACAATGGTGAATACACGCACCTGTCTCCGGGTCCTTATACTGCACGGCAAGCGTGTCCCAGTTCATAAGCAATCCCTTAATCGCTGCATTTTCGTTGAGAGGTTCGTATTTCCCAGTAAGCCGGCCCTTTTCCTTCAAGGCGCGAGATAGCTCGAAGTCGTTCGTCGACGCGACCTCTGGAAGACCAGATACTTGATTTCTCACGTTAGCTTTGAATGCAGAAAGCACCTCCTGCTTCAGGTCCGCGACAGTCGAAGTCTGGCTGCCCGAAACGAAGATAGTGAGGGAGTAGGTCTTGACCGGGAACAGCAGATTTTTTGGTTGAGGCTTAGGCTGGACAGCACACAATTTAGATCATGAGTCGACATAGAGATATCTGCGGTTAGCTACGCGTACCATTGATGAATGTCGAGAACAGCCAAATGTAACGTTGAAGACGGCGTAGAGACCCAAATTAAGGCTCCGTTCGGTTGCACGGCCGCGTCGCGGCGCTCTCAAGGCGCCACAGCCAGCTCGGCTGCGTGGCAGTGCTTTTAGTGAGAGGCGATTGGCTGAAAGACTGTTTTGGCGTCGTTGGCCGCGACGCGGCCATGCATCCGAACGCAGCCTAAACTCCGCTTTACACCTGAGAGCGACCTTGCCGGCTGCAGGCCGGCTGCAATTAGCTTAACACCGACTGGTTGTGGCTGCCGCCGACGACGATGAGCTTGTTCCACGACCCTACGGCGGCGTCCACGCCATACAAGGATCCGACTCCTCTCCCCGATGACATTCCCAAGGTCAACGAATTGGGAGCGACCAGCGCACCTCTGAAGAGCGCTTCGTTCTTCATTGGAGCTCATTGCAAGGAGTTCAATGGTGCGTTTGCGTCACAACGTTCTCCATAAGGCTGTAGGTTAACCTGTACTCGTATCAATCATTGCTACTCTTGGGCTCGTTATTGGGGACGCTTCGACGGTGAACGTATAAACCATACTATGACACCGTGTACGCGCGGGGCTTGGAATATTCAGAGGACTTCATGCTATGCAAGCAGGAGAGCCGCGATCCCGCACATTGTCTCAAGGAAGGACGCAGGGTGACCCGATGTGCAGCTGACTTGTGAGTACCCAATATCCGTATTCCTGGCTTGACCATACCTGGTAGAGTGGAGAGGGCCGGATTTCTTACCACCTATTGCTATAGAATAAACAAGCTCCGTGAAAACTGCTTCAAAGAGTTCGAGGAACACTGGAATTGTCTAGAGTATAACAACCAGGTATGCCTTGATGATGCCCTGCCGCTGTACTCACGTCTCAACCTCGGGTGGTCTCGGAAATTGACGCCTTTACGCTCTAGGAATTCTATCCCTGCCGCAAACCTGAACGGGCACTCAACAAGTGCGTCTTCGAGAAGATGGTGCGTTCCTCGTGCTCCTGCCGGTCCAGATCTACGTGTTCACTTGCAATACAGGGTCTGACGAAGACCATCCCTGGGACACCCGAGGGCAAAACACCGGTGCATGAGCTTACGAACCCTGTCTTCAAGCGTCAGCAGAAGTAGAGCGCTCTTGTTCTATTCTGCGCATGGGATTATCCCTCCCCAGGGGGCTTTAATGCAGACGCTGTGCTTCTGGGGCTGGCTCTCGTGTCGTAGCTGTCCTGGAGCCCTTCTGACTCCTGCCAATATTGCTATACATCATGAATAGAAGCAGCAAGACATGCACCCGGCCGTGTCGCGGCGAGTATATCAGCTGTCTTTGAGTGGAACGCTATGAATTCAACAACCCTATGGGTGTCTGAGAGAACTTTGAAGACCAGAAAGTAAGGGAAACTGACAAATAGTTGCATAATTACGGACTTGGATTCAGAAAGGAGACGTGGACGCGACGTGGACGCGATCGGACCAATGCTCCGCTCATTCCCGCCTTTGCCACGACCGCGTGTTCGTCTGGCCCTCCACAAGTACTCTACATCTTCCACCTGTAATCAACTCAGTCCGCAACATGCCATCTATGTCTCGAACTCGGTCAATCCCTATTTCAACCTCTCCCTTGAGGATTGGTCCGTCCCAATTATCTAGGACCATGAGAAGTCGCGAATTTTGACCGATTCCCTGTGCACTTAGGCTCTTCAGACATAAGAACCACCAGGAGCCATTATTACTCCTATACAGGAATACACCATGCGTCGTCATAGGCAGGAATCAGAATCCGTGGAAGGAGGTCAATATGTCGGCCTTGAAAGCGAGGAACATACCGTTCATCAGGAGAAGGAGTGGTGGGGGCACAGTATATCACGTACAGCTCTCCGGATACCTTCTCCACCTGTGGATATACTTACCGAGTGCTCATGCAGGACCTAGGAAATACTAACTACTCGATACACCTCCCGCGAGCGTCTTTCGATCGACATGAGACAGCTGAACTGGTTCGGAGAGCGATCAGTACGCTGGGTATTGACGTTCGCGTTAATGATAGGAATGACATATGCGTGGGGTCTGAAAAGATACGTGTCCCGGGTCCAATGTGCGTGCCTGCAGCTAACGAATGTTTTCGTTTGTACGTGTCCGGATCTGCATATAAAATCGTCCACCAGAGAGCATACCACCACGGAACCATGCTAATATCTACACGGCTAGACACTCTTGGCGCTCTGCTAAGAGCTGACAAGGTATTATCCATGGTCGAAAGCTTAACACTAGCATTCTGATACCGAATGCAGGATACGATGGTGACGAAAGGCGTGGATTCCGTCCGCTCACCAGTGTGCAATCTCCGTCAGTTCAGTTCCACGATCAATCATGAAACGTTCGTGGATGCTGTGATTAAGGAGTTCAGGAAAGAATACGATATACGGGAGACGGTGAATAGTATGCCAATGAACGTTGTCCAATTCCGCTAAACGCTTACCAAGGTTCAATACGTGGATAATGGCGAAGGAGTAGATGATATTGAGTATATCCGGAACGGGATGACGGAGCTGCTTGTAAGTCTTATAGTATGTCCGTGAAAGCCGGGATTGACCGGCAGCTTGGGACGCAGAGTTGGGACTGGGCATTTGGCCAGACTCCAGAGTTCACATATACGCTGAAGAAAACGTTGCCCTGGGGCACAGTGGTAAGTACCGAGCCCTTCCTTAGGTTGTGCTTGCACTAACGGACTGCCAGACTGCTGAGATCCGCTCGAAGCATGGCGTAATTCTATCCGCCGCTTTTGCTGGCGAAGGGGACGTGTCCCAAGAGACACTAGAACAACTAGGTCGAAGACTCGAGGGACAGAAGTATGGCTTCGTGGATGCAGATATAGTAAGGGATATCACAGAGCAGGACAACCGGTACCGAGATATCTGGGATTTCCTTTCATCGTCCATGGATACTTACAGCTACAGACCATAAGGCCCATATATGAAGTTGTGTACGGCGGTAACATTGCGCAGCTTTGAGCGGCGCATAGCCGTGATCTATAAACGCGAGTTTCGGGCTAAGTGAACAGGATGGAGTGTATTGTAGAAACTTCATCGTGTCCTCTCAGTGTACCACATACTACTCGTCGAGAAATCATCCGGTGCCACTGGATCGGACTAAACGAGGGACGTTACTTGGCACAGACTCTTAAGAGTCAAATAGCACGCACCCTCTGTCCCCGAGGATGTCCGGTTAGCCGTCTGTCTCTGTCCATCATCATCTCGTCCCAGGCGTCAATGTTGTATCGAGGGCCCTAGTAATCGGACAGGTCGTGCCCAGAATGAATTAGGGGCACGTGTATGGAATTTGCGAGGAATAGACTTGGACAGTACCTTGCCCTGGTTCTGCAGCCGCTTCGACGTGTTCAGCAGGGTGCCGGCAGCCCCGAACATGACGGTGAGCAAACCTATCGGTCGAGTCAGTGGCCAGCAAGACGCGTAAGTGGTAGGCGCACCGAAGGGGATGAGAGCCTCCCAGGGAACAGGCATGGTGACGAACTGAGCGTTGATATCGTTGGACGGAACTATAGGTAGGTCTGACGCCACCCGATTGGCTGCATGGATGTTTGCAGATATTTGTATCCCGACAAACATACGATAAATGGAGTATTTCCCACTTTCCGTGGACTGTAGGTAATTCCACGCGGCCTATCCGACACTCTCGTATGCGCCATGTGAAAGAGCCTTGCGCGTGCGCATCAGAATTATCACAAGGTATTGTTAAAGCCACTGCTTCATTCAACCACATCAGAGAATGAAGAATAGATTGTTACCAATCACTCGGAAAGAACAACATGGAATTATAGACGGATTCTATAGCTACAACGGTGGAAGTAGTGTCGGAATGTATATGTATAGGAAACACCTTGCTGGAGGGGAACCCGGGCCACATGAATCTTTCGGGAACTGCATTGCTCATTTGAACCGGATATCGCGTCTTGCTGTCAGGATGGGTCTATCCGGACCTCCCGAGGACAAGCGTATAAGGGACGCACTGACCCGGTGCGCTCTCATGAATACGTGAAGCGCAGGACGAAATTAACTACCACAGCCACTGCACCCGGGCGTTAGACGCATCAATCGCGGGATTAGCACGGACCACCTACCGAGAAGGGCAATGCATAACAAGGTCTGCGGGGTGCATTGGTATCAGCAACAGTTCAGCAAGAAAGGGAGGAAACCTACCGGTCCCAACCTATCGTCGTAGGGTCCACGACCTCCCCGGCGGATAGAGGCAGCGCGCCAATGGTAGGTATATAGGGCGTAGATCATGACGGCCATTGCTATCAGATAAGGATAGCATTGCCATGGGATGTCTCACATAAGTTGAGATACCTCAAACAACTCACCTACGATGGAGAACATAGCGGCACTGATCTTTCCAACCTACAAAGCACTTTTCAGCCAATCAGACAGTGATATTACATCCGACGTGCGTACCTTGTCACCAAAATTCAGCAACCCAACTGCCAATCCTCCCAAAACGACAGTAAAATGCAGCCATGACAAGAAAGTACGTTCGTTCGCAAACGAGACTTTGGGTTCGACCCGGACAGGGAGGGCTATGCGCTTCTGCGCAGTACGCTGGAGGAGAGGCTGCGTCGACATGGCGGTCAATAGAGAACCTATGCAGAGGCTGATAATAGACAGTCTAGAGCAACCGTCCTCGGGCTGCAGCGGGGACCTGGTCTTGACATAAAGCCAGAAACGAATGGGATCGGGTCCACCACGAACGTTCGTGGTCACACGTCACATTTGGAGTAGCGTCTGTGACAGTCCTTCTTCCTCCACGACTTCACGTCGGCATCTTTTCCCCTGCTCTGGCTGCCTGCAAGTCCTAGGACCGTTGAGGTTGATGTTACCAGATGCTACTCTGCTGCCCTTAAGTATAGTTATGTGGGGCCTGTTGGCTTTGTGCTGTTCGCAGACGCTCATGGTGCGGCAGTGGTAGTGTGGCTGGGATCGGCCAATGCCGGTAGGGTGGGAAAATGCATTTTGAGGTCCCAGAAACCCCTGCAGAGCAGGGGCATGTTTGTTGCCGTAAAATTCTAGGAGCGAGCAGAGCCAGTCAAACCTTGTGATCCACTTGTTCCGCTGGCTTTACGCTTATCTTTTGTATTAAGGAGGACAAAATACTTACTATTGGCGATGCGGGTAGTTGGCATCTGCCACTTCTTCTAATTCACGGGAGACCTCACTGTTAGCATACGGGGAATGCTACAATGATGTATGGGCATTGAATATTGAATATTAAATCTTAATGTGTGATGCATTACAAGGTCAAGTTTACACTCACTGCGGTGGGCAGCTGGGGACTATGTGTCAGTATGGTTCGACGTTTCGCTCGATTCAACAGCTTCAAGAGGCACCATGCAGGGCATTCGAGGCTACTCACAGTAATTCCCAATGCCCAATGATCCCACATCTGGCCCTTTCTGAGCACGAGGTAAGTGTGATTTTTCTCGTGATTCCGTTTTCATTCCTGTTACGCGTTCCGCGGAACGGACACATCTTTGAATTGGCTGCTAAGAAGCCTGAAGAAATCGGGGTGCAATGTTGGGTGATACTACTTCAAAGGCTATTTGTCCTTAATTAGATACATCCATAAATCAGACCACTTCCTTTGCAGCAGCAATTCTGCTCAGATATTCCGTTTCCTCGAATATTTTCCCGATATCAGAAGCGCATCAATGATACGAGTGTCTACCTCCAGTACCCCTCGAACATGTAAGTGGATTGGTATATTCTCAGAATATCCTTATATTCTTGGGGGAACACCCGTATACAGAGTGACCACCGCTATGTATTGCGCTCTCAGTCGGGGCTGCATCTTCTGTCGGTGCCAGTCTGCGCTACTGCCTCTGGGCCCAATTCCTCGGTAGCACCGCCACTGATCCAGTTTTACTCCCGCTTCGGATTGACGCGGTGGCTGTGCAGGCGCTTCATTCGTGTGTCACAGTGTGTGCATGTCGATACATGATTAAATTATACAACAGGACTGCATGGATGGACTATGGTCACAGGGGCAGGACATGTCCTGGAGGGTTTGCTTGCTGATGACTTAACTACCTTTTTGTGTATCGAAGGAGTGCAATGTTAGACCGTAGAAGATAAACCAGCGTAAACGACAAGTTCTCCCTTCTCTCGCCGCCCCTCGATCACCTTGAACAGCCTCAAAAGTCTTAAAAATAAACTTCACGCAAAGATGGGTGGTCCAGGAGATGGCGAAAGTATGTGAGAGCGCGAAGAGGGAGAAAGGGGGCTCTAGGCAATTTCGTGCCGGCAGGATAGTCGGTGGATTGCATGTACGGCAACCGAGCGAAATTGGATGAAAGGGTAACAAGGGTGCAAATCTGTTGCTTTCAGGCGTGAGACAGGTGCTTCCGTAAGGCGGACCGTCTCTGCGGCGGTAATCCGATGGTGAAAGGAGGCGTCAGTCGGGAGGAGGGAGAGGGCCATCTGCCCCATCTTCCGAGTGATAGTCCATTTCCATTATTCCTCTACATCCCTCCAAGCCTTCCCATGGAGGGACCCATGTGCCTTACTATATGTCAGCGTGGGTTACATAAAGGAGCGGTAAGGAATAACTTACCTGGTATTCATATGCGCGACGCTTGGATTGGTCTTCTTCGCCTTTGCTTCGGTCGACTTGGGCTCAGAAGGAGGCGGGATCTTGTCTACCTCAGCACTGGACGGTAGCGCGGTATACGGTGCGCCTGTGCCCGACTCTCCTCCCTTTGCTGACTTCTTGGATGGCTTGAGGAGTTTGGATATCTTGAACCCCCCCGAGTTGGAGGAGGAGGATCCCTCCCCTGTGCCGTGGGCTTTGGCTTCTGTCTTGGGTTTCGAGCTGCTGCTAGAAATGCCGGTGCCCATAGGTAGAGCGGAGGGGTTGGCGGGGACGCCTCTATATGCGTGCCAGTGAGTCATTGCGGGTGAGGGCGATAGATGCGTCGAGGTGTTGAAGCTAGTTATGGGAATGGTGGTGTTCGTATCTGAAGCAAGGCTGTCGAAGCAGGGCTCTGGACTTGCTCTTTATAGTCATGATTCTGGATACGCGCGTACATTCTTTTGGGGTACGCGCGTACATTCTGACTCGATAGATGGGTCAGATGAGTCGAATCTAAAGAAAAGTGGAGGGTACGGAGCCATTAGCACCCCCTCCATGACAATGTCTCCGGTTTGTCGGACTTAAGACCAGCAAGTCTTTAGCAAAGACATGATTCTTCGAGTCTAATGTACGGGCAGAATACATCATCTGATACCTTAGATCTATGGTGTTAGACGGTGCGATACATCACATTAATATTCAGCTCACCAAAGCCTGAAATCGCTGCAGTCAATAGTGCCATCTTTAACTGGGGGGTATGTGTCCATCCAGTCAAGTAGAGTCACACCGAGTCAAGTCTAGTCATAGCCAAAGGCTTGCGCAAGCGCTGCTATCTCGGAGCCTGAACGCTTTGATGGCAAAGCGGTGACGCCTAAATGCATGAGAGAGTCCCGGACAAGTTTGAATTTCACGGACATTTCTTTCGCCAGTCATTGAAATGGAAGGGTTGTATTGGACCTTCCGGTCTCTGCTATCTTGCAGAGGGGATTCGAGAAAGACGACTTCATGACTGCTCGCTCATTGGCTGGTTCATTGACACTTGGGAGTGGCGTGGGACTCTCATGCGTCCTCGCCACAAGTCCAATTTTGGACGGCTGAGTCCCTTGTCCTCTGTTCCACATCGTCCCTATTTTGCTTGAAAGGCGTGCTGCTCGCCCAACACCATATACTTCTTGACGATTTTGACTGTTTCTCTGCCGCCAAAATATGTCTATCACTAGCGAACAGCATCCTGCCGGCTCACGATTGTCAATACCACCGCTCACCGCGGAAGAAGAAGGTGCCTTGGCCTTTCCTCATTCTCCTCCATAAGTCGAAGAGCTCTATTGAGGACTTCAGATGCTGTAATACACACAAGGATTGTTAACGATGAAAAGAACTTGCGGCGCGTGCTCAAGCGTTTCTACACCTACGTTTCACTCGCCCATGCGCCCTCCGCGCCGCTCCCTGGGCCGTCCGCTACGGTCGAAGATGCGCGAGAAGCGTTCCTCATGGAGTTAGCGTCTTTTCAGCTGTCGCTGAAGAAGAGTAGTATGATTTGTGAAGCTGAAGCTAGGGATGTGGAGGAGTACCGACAAGAGAAGCAGCGAATAGGTATGCGCGCATTCCTTTGCCCGATATCAGGTCTGAGCAAATATGGCTGTTAGAGGAAGAACATACCAACTTGAGAGTGCACATCGAACAGCTGAAGACATCATTAGAAGAAGCCCAGCAGTTGCGCCGACAGAAGATAGAGTATGACCAGATCGCTGAGAAAATAAATAAACTACAGACCCGGGAGCAACTCGAAGAGTGAGTATATGCTCGTGACTCTTTGGCTAATCTGCTAATCCCTGTTAAGGTCCATACAGGCCCTCGAGAATGAGATGACCGAGATCCAAGCCGAGCATGACACCCAGACACGCCTTGTGCAAGCGCAGAAAACATCTCTAGCTACCGTAATTGCCGACCTGAACGCCCTACGCTTGATGGGCAAGGAGTCCGACGCGTCGAGGCTGGCGTCACCGGCTCCAGGCTCTGCAGACGACGCGGCGATGGAGGCCACTAATTCCGATGACCCGATGACCGGCAAGCCGGAGAGGGAGGAAGGAGAAGAGGGCGAAGCGTCCATGGGAGGCTCGATTATCAAAGAGCTCAATCCCTCCGCTGCGCCTTTCACTCCGTCTGGGTCTAGCGGGCAGCTGGGCAATCCAACGCCAAGAACACCTGGGAAGGCCGTCGCGACCCCGTCGTACGTAGGGTCGCCCGCGAATCTGGAAGATGACATTGAGATGGGCGAAGTTTCCGAGGGGCCTAAGGATGGCAAGGGGAAGCGGAAAGTGCGAGAAGAGCTGGAAGAAGGGGAGGCTAGTGATCTGAGTAGTGAGTTGTCGGAGTTACCAGATGACTGATATATCATTTTGTGTGTTGTCAAACTGAACTCATGAGATGTACCAATATGTTCATTGAGACCCTTGGGCAGAACAATGTCTCTTGGCCATGCATCTTCGCTCACAGGAGTCTATGTCGAATCATCAAGCACATTACATCTGTACGAACGGTGTGTAACAGGTATGCTGCAAGCTGTTGAGATCGGATGTCGCGATGGCAGGTTAGTGATCGCCCTCAGTCGTAGTGGAATAGGCTGCAACTGCGGTAATGGTTTGACACCGCTGTTGATACTTCCTGCTGTCTTACGGATTGGACAATCATCTGGCCACAGCGGTAGCAGAAATGCCTACGCGATGGACATTATTTAGCACGAGGACAAGACAGAGCGCATCTACTCACGAATTGCAGCCTGGCGTGGGGCACTGAGTATCAATAGTAAGCACAAGTTCCGTACAATGCATGAGACAGGCATACCGTCATATGGTTGCATCCTTCGACCTTCTCGGCGGGCGTCTGACAGCCTGGAAGAAGATCCATTATCCAGCTTGATGCTTCATATGGGAAGCGCTGACCTGGGCAGTTTTTCCAACCCCGCTGTTCCATTAGGTCCTTTAACTCGTTTGACCCGTCACAAGAGTGCGTGCCGCCTGCGACTGCCGCTTGCGAGCAGCGCTTACACCATGTGTACTGGCACCTGGGCAGTGGACACGTGAGGATCTCCATTTCGCTGTATTCTCCCTTGTCGACGAAGACTGATTCCTTGCACCTTTGCGACATGAGATACAGCGTATACAACCAAGGGAAGAAGCCATCATACTCACTGTCGACAATGTATCAGGATAGAGAACGCCGTCATTTCGAACTCGACGAAAGTCTGGTAGTCCTCTTCAGAGAGGCCGATCTGTTGCGCGAGCCCATTGTTGATGACTGCAGCAGAGCTGAGTCTTCGGTCGGTAGGATACGTCTTACCACTTACCAGGATACTCGTGTTTGCTACCATCTCCTGTCATACAGACAGGGCAGAAGATGGGGAACCGACCCTCCTGCAGCTTGGACTGCACGTAGCTTCTGAGACACTCAGTGCAGAACCGATGCGCGCATGAGTCCAGGGGTGCGATGTAGTCCTCCGGGAGCTTTTCCAGGCAGATCACGCAATCGAAGGTGCGTTGTGCCGTCGCTTGTAATTCCAGCATTTGGTCGTGAAGGACACTGTCCTCCAAGCTGTACTCGAGCTGCATCTGCATAGCATATCGAAGGTCCTCCTCCTCTTGGTTGCTGGGTGATTGAGGCGGGCTTGTAGCGGAAGACTGATCAAGCCGCTTCCTCTCCGTACTTGCACCGTCCACTTGCATCCGCCACGGCCACAGCATGGAGCTGAGGTAGGTCGAAGGTCCAATCTCACTTTCGTCCCTGGCCTTGCCTTTCCTCGCAGTTGCACTGCGTTGGCCATTGCCCTGGCGGTGCTGTTCTTGCTTCAACATCCGTAGCTCGGTCTGGAGTCGCTGAATATCTCTGCCGAGGCTGGAGTTGTCCGACGCCAGCGAGTTGTTCTGCGACTGCAGACTAACTACATCTGCTTTCAAAGACAGAGCGGACAGACTCGCTCGGATTAGCGCGTTTAACCAAACCGAAGGGATGTCTGGTTTGTCCTTGGCTACGAAGACATGCCCTGAGAAGTGAGCGAGCATCTGGGCTTCCCATTGTATCTCCCTGTCCATGAGGAGCTGAGCATCATATCCCAGCAATTGAGTCAGGTAAGTCGTAGTGCCTTCAAGAGAGGTATTGAAGATGAAAGCAGCACCGTCAGGGTGTTTCGGGCGAGGATGAGAATCGAATATCGCGAAGACCTCCTGGTTCTCTACCGGGATTATAAGACATAGAATAATTTCCGGCGGCCGTGTGATCACCACAGCGACGGCAGATTCACCAGACAGTAGCTTTGCGCGTCTTGAAGGTTGAGGTAAGTTATATTTCTCCAAAATATCAAGTATGAGCTCACCGCAGCAAACCAGTGAGGTGCTTACGGTTAGTCGATGCGTATTCCCTGGCCTTGTTATCCAGAGTCTCGGAGAATATCGGTGCAGCGTATATCTCCTCTACTTCGAGGTGAGAGGGGCTTGACCACGACTGGCATATGCCCAGAATATTCTGTAGATCGAGTGCTCAGGACGAGATGTGAATTGTGCTGATGACGGTGACCGCCCCAGGTATTGAGAATATACATGTGGAGCTCACCTGCAACGTCTCTCTGAGCATGATGGTTTCGACAAGCCGAGCACCTCTCAGTCCATTCCTGTCCTTACCCAAGACGATTCTTGCGCAGTTCAATGCCGCCAGTCCACAGGCAGAGGAGCCGCCGCCTTGACGGCCATACTGACTCGATCCAGGAAAGGTGACGACACGCTCGCCACCTCCCATGAGGATCTCCTCGACTATCTGCTGCCTCTCTGGCTCTGTGAGGTATTGAAGGATTTGTGAGGCCACCACGGTTCCTGCCATTGCGGGGGAAGATGGGGCGCCAAGCCGCAGGCAGCTCACCTTCTTGTACCGAACTCGGAGGGATTCACTGCGGTGCTGCGGCCCGGGCTATTCCAATGTGCTCCGGTAAATAAGAACCCAAGTATCGACCATGCTTTACTTAAGAGCCGAGGAGTTGAATGGTGAGCTTCCTCCAATTCTTTTACGACTAGCCTCATGCTGTTGCGCAAGGCAGTTCCAGCTTCTGACGACGCCTCGTTGCATCCACAAACAGGCGGCTCCTGCAAGCAAGGGGAGATTACATTCCCATTGCTATACAGGCCCTAGGCCTACCCACTGTCCTGGTATTTTCGCATCGATAAGCTGTGCGACACTTTGCAAGTCTAGATCTGCCAGTGGTTCTGAATTCCTCCCTGCTGGTCACCCGGTCCCGATCTTTCATTATTAAGTGCTGCCACAGGAACCTTGGGCAAGGTGATAGATATATCGGGAAACATTGCATTGTATATGTTATGAAATTCTCCTCACTATGGTTGCTGTCGATTAGTGGTCAAATCATGTCGTTGTGGTTGTCACAAGATTAATTCCGACAAGCCCCAGGTTCGACTCCTGGCAGCGACACGTTTTGCAACTGGAGCACGAGCCTGAGCATTCATTGCGTTCCCATCCTACCCATTTTTATGTTGCGGGATGCTCGGCGTCTGGTCATAGAGTCGGTGAAGGCTCAGACCGCTGTGATGATTTGATGATTTGACGATTCCCGGAGGGGGTATCAGGATTGCGCGCCGGACTTCACCTTAGATCAGGTCGTAGGTCCAAGTATAACACCTATCAACTATATGACATCAAATCAGGTTTATGCCTTCCGCGACCAGATACCGCCGCTAGTACTACGGCCCCCACGACGATGCCCCGCACCCGATCGGCCGCCTTAGCTTCAAGTTCCACCTCGTGTAGAAACGATGTCGAAGCCACAGCGCACCCTGATCGAGAACCTTCGCCCTCAGGTTCTGAAGGTGTTAGTGTGGGCATTGAGGTAGGTTCGCTTAACTCGAGCAGTCCGCGGAAGTGCATACGGAGGCTGATTAAACGCATAGCGATACCTCCTTAAAGTCCATAGAGGTCTAAAGCACCTTCAGGAGGAGTGTGCCGGTCTAAAGAGAGAGAACGAGGAACTGAGAACTGAACTGGACAAGTTGGCGGAGGCTCAGGATGTTTCTATACAACCGAAGAAAGGCAAGAAGGGTGGTCGAAGTGCTGCTAGTTTTCAGGCAGAGATTCGGACGTTGAAGGGGGAAGTACGGAAGCTGGAGACCGTGAGTCTATCTCGCAAGTCGTTTCATGGCTTTGCCTTATTGTCGAGACTAGGCGAGAGACAAACTCAAGAAGAGGGTGAAACAGGTAATGTGCCCAAGGATGTTATGGTACTTGCGCGCCTGCTGCTCATCATGTACAACCTCAGCTTGAGATTAGGGAAGCAAGGCGCGAAGCAGCCGAGTTGAATGAGGATGCTGAAGATGGGGCAGACGACTCTGCATACCATATGAGAAAGGTGCGGACTCAGCAAACATGTGGTTTGGGATAGTGCTGAAGGCAAACACAGCTTCTGAGGAAGTTCCAGGACTTGGTGTCAGAGACAGTGCTAGACGAGAAAGAGGAATGTGTTATATGTATGGAAACGCTGAAACCGAAAGAAAGTTCAAGGTACGTTCGAGCATACTGCAGCATTTCAGACGCTTTCTAAGACGGATCAGTTTCCCCTGCGAGCATGTCGTGTGTAATGCATGCTTGCCCCAGATCAACCCAGGGTCCGAGATCATCAATTGCCCACAATGTCGAAAACCTGCAGAGAAGTCAGACATAGAGCTGGTGACGCGCACAGCTTCGCAGCAGTGGGATGCACTGGTGGACATCGCTAAGCGATGGGGTCATATGGATCGCCGGCGGGAGATGAGCTCGAGCGAGGAGGAGGCGGAAGCGAGCTCCGTAGACGACGGGCAGTCCGCAGCCAGGTGCGTATGTTTAATAATCCAGGCCCAGAGGAGGTTAATGAGCGAGTCACTGCAGTCATGGCGATCAGGAAGACGTCGAGCCTGAGTCCTCCTTGTCCGCAGTCGAGAGCACCCCGCCACCGTCTACTTCAGCAACACTGAAAGCAGCTCCGCTACCGTCTACTTCAGCAACATTGGAAGCAACCCCGCCACCCTCTGGTTCAGCATCGTTGTCAACAACCCCGCCGGTGCCGGCATCCTCTCCTCCAGCAACATTGCCAGCAACACCGCCGCCCTCAGGCTCTGAGCACCTTCTACGCACACCTTCGACTTCGTATCTGCAGTCGCCCGCTGCAGACAAGCGGAAGAGAATGCAAGAGTTAGCAGAGCAACGGAAACGAAGGAAAGGTCTGCGGTAGATCGCCAGAACGAGACGCCGTATGGGTCGGACTGGGGACTGTGATAGCGATGTACCAGCTGCTATCAGCTGCAGAGAGATGTTCGTGTATCACAAATCAAATGTACATTGTACAATGTATGTGCAATCAGCGAGAGCATATGCGTGGGAAAGTACCTCTGTAGTGGCCCACATACGGTGCTCTACATTGCAATCCCCGGCACTGAGCACTTCTAGTAGTGCTACCACTTGTCCGGGCACTGACCATGATTACGTTCAAACCCTTGTCGGGTGCTGCCAGGTCATCCAGGACCATACCATTGGCGTACCTACTTCAAGTTGATGATGTCCGTATATTGCTGGACTGTGGTTCCCCAGACTGGTGCCCCGAAGCCTCGTCCTCGGCTGTGAAGACTGAAGACATCGAAGAGAGAGTATACCACTGGGAACAGTACTGCGACGCATTGAAAGAGTACGTATAAACTTCAGGGCTGTTGTGGGATGATGCCTGATGTATGACTGCTGTAGATGCGCTCCATCTGTGGACCTCGTACTGCTCTCGCACGGAGACTTGGCTCACTCAGGCTTCTACCCGTACGCATTCTCGAGATGGGGACTGAAGGCGCCGGCGTACACTACTCTACCTGTACAAGCTATGGGTCGCGTGGCTGCTGCAGAAGACGTGGACGGCGTGCGGGACGAGGAGGACGTCGGCGATGACGAGGACAAGAAGGAAAGCGACGCGGATGCCATGGACACGTCTACGGATGTGGAGTCAGCAAAGGAAAAGAAAGGCAGGAAGTATGTTGCGACGGTCCAGGAAGTGCATGAAGCGTTCGACTCCATCAACGTCTTACGTTATTCACAACCATGCCATCTACAAGGTTAGCCGAATCTCGCGTTTACTCTGGGTTAAGTCTGTTAAGACTCCGTCCAGGGAAGTGCCAGGGGTTGACCATTACGCCGTTCAATGCTGGCCACACTCTGGGAGGTACCATATGGAAGATCCGCTCCCCTTCTGCTGGTACCATCCTCTACGCGGTAGACATGAATCATATGAAGGAGAGACACTTGGATGGGACGGTGCTCATGCGGCAAGCCGCCGGCGGTGTCTTTGAGCCACTAGCCCGGCCTGACCTGCTCATCACCGACGCGGAGCGGGCCAACGTGCTCAGCAGTCGCAGAAAAGACCGTGATGCAGCGCTCATCGGTACGTATCCTCGTCCAGTGTCCGCGATTCTCGCCGACGAATTTCGGCATAGACACCATTACCACCACTCTATCATCCCGGCACTCCGTGTTGATGCCGTGCGACTCTTCGACGCGCGTCCTGGAGCTGCTAGTACTGCTAGATCAAGCATGGAACTACTCTCGTATAAAGTTCCCTATATGCTTGCTCTCGCGGACTGGGCGCGAGATGCTCACGTTCGTCCGCAGCATGATGGAATGGCTGGGTGGGACAGTCAACAAAGAGGACGTGGGTGAGGATGGCACCAGGCAAAGTCAGCAGCAGAATAAAAGGAAACGAGTCGATGAGGACGGTGACGAAGATGCACTGGGTGCCTTTGCTCTGCGGTTCAGGTAAGCTATATGTCGATGTCTGATCGCTGGAAAGGATATTCTTACCTGCGAACAGGCACCTTGAGATATTCCCGACCCCTCAGCATCTCACACAGACGTACTCTTCGAAGGATCCAAAGCTGATTCTCGCTGTTCCAGCTTCACTGTCGCATGGCCCATCGAGGATAATATTCTCAGAATTCGCCGCTATCCCTGACAACGTCGTGCTGTTGACAGGACGGAGCGAGGAAGGCACACTTGGACGTATCCTGTTCGACACGTGGAATAATGCGCAACGAGCTGAGCACAAGTGGGACAAAGGTAAAATTGGAAGCAACATTATGATGGATGGCATTCTCCACATGAAGGTAGGGTCAACGATCTTGTGTCTGTTCTGCTCGACTTACCTTGGTGGTAGATGAACTCCAAGGTCCCCCTTCAGGGCGCCGAACTCGAAGAGTTCCTCCAAAAGCAGCGCGCCGCCCAAGAAAAAGAGGCGGCTCAGCAAGCCGCGATGCAGCGCACGCAACGGCTATTGGAAGCTGATGAAGATGATTCTGAAGACGAAGATGAAGACACGGACGAAGAGGATGAAAATGAAGTGGCCTTGGTGCTCGGCGATGAGATGGACACTGCTGGTGATTTACAAGGTCCGACAACGGGGCTCATCGAGCCTGGTAGCGGTGGCGGCAGGGGAAAGGGGGGCCAGGGCGGGGATGCTGACTGGACCTTGGATGCCGATGAGGGTGTCACCAAACAGCTTTCCTTTGATATCTACATCAAAGGAAACGTCTCAAAGGCCACATCATTCTTCAAAAAAGACGGGGGACAGAACCAGAGGTATCGGATGTTCCCTTATGTCGAGAAAAAGAGGCGAGTGGATGAATATGGTGAGACGATTGACGTGGGCATGTGGTTACGCAAAAGCAAGGTCTTCGAGGAGGATGATACGGGAGAAGATGCGAAGCGAAAGCAAGCCGAAGAGGAGACTAAGGTAGGCGTATATGAACACCTAGGAAAACACAGGATGCTTAGTGGTTCTGTTGGATTCAGAAAGCACCTCCGGAGCCACCGTCCAAATTTGTTACCATCGAGATTGACGTGCAGCTCGCTTGTCGTCTTCTTTTCATTGATTTAGAAGGTCTCAACGATGGCCGAGCAGTCAAGACTATCGTGCCCCAGGTCAACCCGCGTAAAATGGCAAGTCGTCCATACAGAGTTCGGGTCGCCGTTCCTTATCCTATCCGAGCAGATTATTGTCCATGCACCAGAGCCGTCCACGAATGAACTTATCGAAGCTTGCGCAAATATTCGAGCTATGACCAAAGACATCTTCGCTCCGGCCCCACTTGAGACAGTGCAAATTGGCCAACACACCCACAGCTTCTCCATCTCTCTGAGCGAGGACCTGCTAGCGTGCACGAAGCTCTCCAGGGTACGTCCCGGCTCCATACAAATATATTTCCCAGGCTGATTTTCTGCAACCCCGTTTTGCAGTTCGAAGATAACGAAGTCGGTTATGTGACGGGTCGTGTCATAATTCACGCAGGATCTACGATCCCCACTCTTGAGCCAATATCGACCGGTCCCTCCGCTCGTGCTCAAACCACGCAGAAGGCTTTAGCCGGAGGTAGGCGACCGCTGGGATCCCGACCTCCGATAACCCTACCCCATTCCACAATGATCGGCGAGTTGAAGCTGACTGCCCTGAAAGCCAAATTGACGTCAGTGGGCATTGCGGCGGAACTGGTGGGTGAGGGCGTGCTTATGTGCGGCAAGCGAAAAGGAGGCAGTAAGGGGGACAGCGTACTGGGCATGGAGGATATGGTCGCCGTGCGGAAGACAGGACGAGGAAAGGTGGAGCTTGAAGGGTCGGCGAGTGAGGTGTACTACACCGTAAGGAAGGAGATCTATGGGCTACACGCGCTTGTGGCTGCTTAGGTTAGAAACCAATGATATCCTCGGTAAATAGTCACTAGTCGTGGTCCATGGTTTTGGGGTGAAGACAGTGAAATGGCTTTCAGTTCTTCTTTTACGTGCGAGAGTGCCCCCTGCATGGACGAAGCTACCGATATAGAGGTGCTGGGATTTCACGAATTCAGGTTACACATACTCGGGCGGATTACATTGAAGACGCCCGAAGCCCGAGAGGATGGTATAGGCCGGACAACAGAACGCAAGGCTTTTCAAAACGGACCGTCATTAAGTGATGCTGCAATGCGAAAGCGAGAGACTGACAAGATGGGGTACTACAGTAACCCGAATGCGGGGTTATCGTGCTATATAACCCTCCGAAGACCAACAGCCGCAGTGGATATGTGATGCGGGCTATTCACGTTGCACATCCAGTTGCAGGAACGTCTTCCGTGAATCCAATGAAACGTTGGTATCCAAAAACAGAGTTAAGGTAGACAACGCACTCCCTACAGGGAGACATCCGAACTGAGGGCCTCGCATCCGGGGATCACTCGCCAATAGAACGTGCTGACCTGGGAACATGCAGCATGAAGTCTTCTGTTTGCGTAAGGGACGTCCATCGAAGCTAGTTATGTATGACCGCAAGCGTATCGATGCAACTTCAGCGATGGTCAGCGGACCTCGAACAGAAGACGGGGGTGCTCGGCGTATGCCCGATATCCAACCCAAAATGCATATATATAGTCTTGCAGTCCCTTGTATCGCTCACAAAGCTCGCCATGGTCTCATTCAAGCCCCCCGCAAAATACAAAGCCGTCGCGGTCACCAGCCTGGGCGTCTTCGAAACTATCGAGAAGGAATGGCGGGACCCTGGGCCTGGAGAGATTGCAGTGAAAGTACTCGCCTGCGGCGTCTGTCGCAGCGACGACTTCATCAAGCAGCAGATATTCCCCACGGGCTTCCCCAGAGTCCCGGGGCACGAGGTCATCGGGGACTGTGTAGCAGTGCATCCGTCTGAGAAGCTGTGGAAGGTAGGCGATCGCGTGGGAACCGGATGGCATGGAGGACAGTGCAACATTTGCGACCGTTGCAGGATCGGAGACGTCGTGACTTGTGTAAATGAACATGTCAATGGTAGGTCGGCAGTGAAGTCCAAGAGGTAGAGATGATGTGTGATGTTCCAACGTTTTCGTATGATAGGGATATCCGCCGACGGGGGATGGGCCGAGTACGTGATCCTGAAGAGCGAAGGCATCGCACGCATCCCGAAGGACCTTGACCCAGTAGAGGCGGCCCCACTTCTCTGTGCAGGTGTAACCACATACAGTGCGTCTATCTCGCCTTCCAGTGTCTTCTCTGCGAGTTCATTGTCTTTCATTCCTGTAGATGCAATACGGCACATGGACAGAAAGGCAGGGGACGTAGCCGCCGTGCAAGGAATCGGTGGTCTTGGACACTTGGCAGTCCAGTACTGCCGAGCGATGGGATTCCGGACTATAGCGTTGTCTTCAGGGGCGGGAAAGGCGGAGGTAGCTCAGTCACTCGGGGCCCACGCCTACTTGGACGGTTCGAAAGTAAACCAAGCAGAGGAGCTGCAAAAGATGGGGGGCGCAGACTTGCTGGTCTTGACTGCACCATTCCCAGAGGCCATGGCGAGCTTAATCATGGGGATGAAACCCGGCGGAACTATCCTGATTCTCGCATTGACGGCAGATACCATAAACTTACCCATTCGTGAGGAGTTTCACTTGTCCGTTGCATTTATGTCGACCTAATGAGAGAACTCGCAGATATCCTCGTGCCGCAGAAACTCTCGGTCCGAGGCTGGAAAGTCGGCTCTCCAAAGGATTGCGAGGATACCGTTCGTTTCTCGCAGATGACAGGTGTCAAGGCGCAGGTGCAAAAGTTCTCCCTGGACGACGCGGTTAAAGCCTTCAACGGGATGATGGACGGCAGCGTGAAATTCAGGGCTGTCATTGTTCCTTGAATGTATACTTCGCCCCAGAAGCATTCCAGATGAAGTTGGGGTCCCAAGATAACGCGCGTCTTCGAACGATGGTCGCCCATGACCTGCATGCAGTAAATCGGATAAGGAGGTGTGTTGTTGGAGAGCCTGTCGGTGCCAGTCCAGGATGAGTTCAGATATCCTCTGCTGTATTACTTGCAATGTATACGTGTAACATTATGGAAGCATCTGTAGGACATGAAGTAGCAATTCCAAGTGAGATCATGATGCTTGAGTCTAGCGCAAACACTAGATACCGCCAGGTCATCGCTCAGTGTAGAGACATCAGCCATAGATCATGTCTCCCCGCGTAAATATAGGCATTCCAGTACTATAGCCGGAGGAAATAAACAGAGATACCGCAAGACAACATGGCTGGTGTGGCAAAGGAGTCAAAGGTCGGACACTGACAGAGTCTAGAACGAAATTCACACGCTGCTCAAGCGCTTCATACCTCAGCCAAACCTCAGCCGATCCTCCTTGTTGGCTTGCGTGGTGTTGTCCAGGATTGTTACTTGCAGCAAACGTAGAACAAAATGTCTTCCGCGATCAAAAGGAAGAGGGACGACTTTGAAGATTCGGACGAGGAGGAGCCTTCCTTTGGACGACAGATCCTGCCCGTGGCGAACCTGCCGGACAACTATAACGGCCCTATAAACGATGGAGCGCAGTATCTCTTTACCGTTAGGTCTGTCTGTAGCTGTGCTCTTTTAGTATCATTTACCGACAGGGGATTTTCTTCCGGACAGACGGGATGCTCGTAGATTACCGCACGTGGTGCGGGTTCCCAATCCGTATGAAGTACCAGACGTGCCTCAACCATTAAAACCCGATACGCCTCACCCGTCAGCCCCTTCACAAGCTTGGCGACTTACCTTCGAAAGGCGATTCAGGAACTTCCGTAAGGTACGCTCCTACTAACTCTTTCCGCATCATGGCTCGACTCATCGGATACGTAGAACACCATCCAACCCACAATTCACGTACGCATCCCGGAGAAGAAACCCAAGCAGAAGCTCATGCCTGACAAGAACGAGCGCGATCTGTGGTGGGAGTTCATCGCAGGTAAACCTGAGGCGGTGTGGAACCCACCGAAGAAGGTCAAACAGCCTAAAGGCAAGGGTAAGAAGGGGAAAGGCATGCGTGCGTTCTCGGAAGATATTCTGGACTATGATGATAGCAGAGAAGATTCTGCCTCGCTCGACGTCACTGGTCAAAGCGTAGGCGATGGCGGCAGCGTGGTCTTGACATACGACGATCCCGACGCGTCTATGTCCTCAGAGCATGGAGTGACTTCGGGGTCTCTTCCTACGCCTCGAGCAACGCCTGCACGCCCTGGGGAGGGTGACGTAGGGAGCTCTGCACTATCTACAGAGGTCTTTACCCCGCGGGAGCCTACTCCAGCTTTACTGAGTCGCGTCGACCATGTGAGTGACCATGTGCATGGTGTACACGGAGATCACTGACGACCCTGCCAGCGCCTCGCAATCCATCTCTTGATGTATCTCACGAATTGGGTTAACCACCACCTTCGGCACCCAGAACACATGTCCAATCGTATCTTGGAAGTCCATGCGCGGTGGATGTTCGCGCTCTTATCTCGGGTAGACGACTACGTTGGTGCGGACGACATGAGCCTTCTGCGAAACCTGGCCCGAGCGTGCATCGGTCTACTGAAAGAGCGGATGTGGAAGAAGACCTTCCTGGCGCAAGCCGGCGTCGCGGAGCAAGAACAAGGGGAAATACACGAAGCCGTGCCGGATGTCCATGTCATGAGCGAGCGCTCCTGCTGGATGGTCATTGCGGCAATCGTGGACGTCTGGGCACAGAAAGATCTTTGGCAGGACGCGGAGACGATGTTGCGTGAGCACCAGAGTCAAGCACTATGAAACCCTCAGCGGGATCTTGTGGTGACTGCGTGTTGCGCGTCATTGGGCCGCCTCTCTTTGTGTTAGCTGGTGGAATTTCACTCCGTCTACCTTTCGAGCCGAAAACGGCGTCGACGGTCTGGCCTTCCTCACCCACCTTGGTGGTCCCCCTAAATCCAGCTTCAGGGACGTGTGTGTCTTCGCTTGTTTGCTTGTAACGTGAGGTAGTGTGACAGTGTATATAAGTACCTCTAGTGAGCGTAAGATCCTTGCTGCTGTCTATGCGGCTCATCATCCAGGCAAATATACAAGGCTAGATAGAAGCCTCAATATCCATTAGATACATGAACAAACCAAAAAAGGATCCCTTCCATTGATAAAGGTACACTAACAGTGACACGATTGGAACATTAGACGAGAATATCAGTTACAACATGCATGAACATAGTGCTGACTTGGAATACCCGACGCACAATCACGTACATCGCGCTTGAAGAGGCGCCCATCGACAGCAGTGTTGTATTTGCATAGGCGGGACCATCACGCTCAGGACAATGTTGCCGCCTTCTCACATGCGTCAGAATGGTCAGCATGTACAATGTTGGCAGTCCAATCACCTATGGCCTCCGAAGACCAGTAAGCACCAGCTTTACCCTCTGGTTCACGAGTTGCAGAAGAGAGGGCAGCGTCACGTTTGCAAGCATCCGACACAGGAGTTGGTGAATGTTGCTCGCGCTCAGTCCTGGTGCGCTTGGCTCACCCGGTTTGATGACGACCTGTGTGTTGACTGTTGTCATAATCAGGATCTCCCGGATCGTCTTCGCTAGGTTCGGACCTAAAGAACGAGTGATCTCCAGCCTCCATAGAAGCCCCGGAATCGCAGCTATCCACGATGTCCATAAAGCGAGGATGGTATCGAGGATGGGCCATTGAGCAAGAAGACGGACTGTGGTCTCGGGCCTGAGCCGCGTCAACTTACGGCCAAGTTCCACGATCGCAAATTTGGGATGGATGTGTGACCGCAATATGAGGCCCTCGAAGGGGTAAACGAAGTTTGTGAAGCTATCAAGGGTCGGGGGATACTGTGTCTGCTGCGTGACTCCAAATGTCTCTATATCAACGGTAAGTGTAGATGTCATTCTGCGCCGGTGTGCTTATGAGAAACGACAGCATGAATGCCGAGAAGGTAACGTACCCCGATTGAAGGAAAATCCTCACGTACCGCCAAGTGAACAAGCAGCAGAGTGGTTGCATACTGGTTGACTATTGCATCTGGTGGCAATAAGGCCCAACGACATTGATGTTACGATCAAAACACTTCTTCACGATCACACGTGTTTGACACATGCACACAGAACCGCACAGACATTGCAACCATGCATATCTCATCTTAAAAAAACCCTTTCACGATCATTTATTATTTACGCATTGCTGCCTCACCGATCATAAACTATTCTACATTAATAATGACTGGTTTCCACATTCTCTTAGATACTCATGTAAACCTTTCCATTAATGGAAAGCATGCGTTAATGTGCTTTCCATTAATGGAAAGGTTTACATGAGTATCTAAGAGAATGTGGAAACCAGTCATTA